ACAAGGGTCCAAAGGGCCCAGGAGAAAATGAAGATCTACACAGATGGACGTCGTCGTAGTCGTCCAGCACGGATCACTGTCGGCGATTGGGTGAGAGCTCGTCGAGTCGGTGGCTGGCACGGTCCACTGCAGGTGCTGAAACAGCGTGGGAAGTGGACATTCCTGCTGTCTGATGGGAAGGTGTGGAACGCGTCACGCCTCTGTCGAGCTGCTGAACCGCTGGACATCGCTGTCCCGCCACTCGAGCCGTCGCTACCTGCGCAGGAACCTGAACGAGCTGGGTCGGAGCGTCAGTCGGAGGCCCCGGCTGCGGAGCCACAGCCGCCACGCAGCTCCCCGCGTCGGATCGATCCTCAGGTGTCAGTGTCGCAGGCCCCATATCGCAGGCTTAGGTCTGCTGACGAACGCCGCCCGCCGGCACATTTTCGTGATTATGTTATGCATGACTGAAGCATTGTTTTATGTACTCGTTACGTTATGAGAGGGGGAACTATGTTGTGTCCGGTGATGCATTATGGGCAGTGTCCGGTGATGCATTATGGGTAGTGTCCGGTGATGCATTGTGGGTAGTGTGAAAAAGTGAAGGCCGAACCTTGGATGAGTGTGCCACGTGTTGGATTGGGAATAAAGCAAGTGGAAGCGGAGATTGATTGTACGGAAAGGGAAGCCGAAGCCGACGATACAACACCCACATTTCCTTTGTGCTCGACACGGTCGCAAATGACTCAAGCAGGGGAAAAGAGAGAAAGGAAAATGACGTGTTATTGAAGCTGGCAATGTGTGGAAGGTGATGCCAAATGTCGATCACCGACCGCAAGGGTGCCCAATCCAGCGCCGGCCCCCAACACCCAATCCAACCCAACACCCAATCCCAATCCGGCCTCCAACACCATACGACCTAACCCGCCCAATCCAGCGCGGGCCTCCAACACCATACGACCTAACCCACGAAAAAATGGGGTTTCGCTTCTTCGGTGCAGAACGTGATCAGTTTTCAGCTACATAAACGTATTGGATAAACACTCCTGTCCCAGTGAATGTTTTGCGTATAAGTTACGTTAAGATTGCATGCCGAAATTCCAACTCATTCATGGTTAAGCCCGGAGCTTTTTGAACGTCCCTCCTAGCTATAGTGAGTCTTTGAACTTGTTCTCAGGTAAGGTCACTTGACGTGACCTGGTGACCTGACCTTGAACGAACCGGGTCTGACATTTGCACAGCCGCCGTTTTTTTAGATATTCGCCAAAAACCTGCGGAGGAGGTGGGGCGTGAAAACGACCCCCTCCCCCTGCACGGCGCGGGTTAACCCGCGCCCCACTGGGGGTCCTGGATTTCCACGCCCTGCTGGAGGAGGTGTTTGAACACCCCCCCCCCCCCTTCTAACTCGGCTCCTAGGCCACGTAGCGATACGCGGAAGGCGGCGTGCGAAAGAGCACCAAAAACAATGACGACATCACATAGGTCACTTTTTTGGTCAGGTCAAAGGTCAGGTCACCACAGGTCATTGAAGGCAAAATTTCGCCAATTTTCAAGAAGCCAACGCATAACTCGGGAACCAATAGAGCTACAGCGCCGCGGAAAAGCGCATTCGATAGCCCTATTAAAGGGAGATAATGACCTTTTTCCACAAAATCTGAGTTAGGACCATTTTCTGACAAAACACAACAAGTTATAATGTAAATTTAAACCATTTTGCTCAATTCGGTACCTTGCCGCAAATATCTCAACTTGAAATCACGTTAGCGGGGAGCGCTGAAAATGACCGTTGAATAAGTACTTACATCACTTTTTGGTACTTGCGTGTAATTTTGTAAAATGAGCGTATTCCATACATTTGATCTTCATCACATCTAGTTAGTTAATGATCGTCTATAGTGCCTTCAAAAGATATTCATGGTTTTGGGGTGATTTATGTCTAAATTTACGCAACTATTTTTCCTGTTCATCATCTGACGCCATATGCTGCTATTTTAGTAGCAACGACTCAATTTTGAATCGGTCCCGCCGACTGCACAATAAAAGAAGATAGATACAACACTTTTGCGGCATCACTGAAAAACTTATGCAGTACTGTTATCAAAATTCTCATAACACCGTTCGACAAACCTTAAGTCTTTTTGAAATAAATATGCTTGTATTTTTCGCTTCAGGCTCTGACGCCAAAATAATGAATTTCGTAGTCGCAATCGCAAGATTTGGCTGCGTTTCTGGCGCATGCCGTTCATTTGTTCCGCATGCCGCATGCCGAAACAAAGAAGAGTAGGCACTATGTACCCCCGAATTAGAATCTAATTAATTCTAAAAAACCGAATTAACTCTAATTCAAATTAGAATCCTTACAACCAAGCAACGACAAGGCGATAACATAAACAAAAACCCAAGCGTCGCTGTTTGAAACAAAAGCGCCATATACTGCGACTTTTTATAGAGAAGGACAACGCATTTCGGTGGGTGTTACAAGTACTGCAAGTACTGCTTCTTTTTTGCAAAAATAAAAACCTTTTTCACATACGAAAATGTGCTAGGAAATTTTCATATTTTATAGAAACTACAGTAGAAATAGTATAGATGTCGAGTAATTTTTATTTAAGAAAAAAGAAAGCTCATTATCTCCCTTTAACGCCCTTTCTGAGCAATCCCTCAGATTTGACCTAACGTCAACGGTTTTGCCTGCAGAGGGCAAAAAACTGCCAAAATAGCCGATTTTTTTTCGGAAAGATTTTCTGCAATAACTTTTGACCCGAATCTTGCACCAAGTTACTTTTACCGGCATCGTGTTCCTCTCAAGAAGCATCGAATGAACTATAACTTGACCTTGAAAGGTCAACTTGAAAATTTGACCTCAGGTCAAGGTCATGACCTGACCGAAAATGGTCATGTTGCATATCAGTCGATGCGTATCGTCGACCTGAACACATCTAAGGCATTTTCAACGTTCTAGCGTGCCTCTATCAGAAGTTATTTGCGAATAACTGTTAGATACCATTCGTGACCTGAGATAACCTCAAGGGCTGAGATGAGCAGGGGTCACGGAGACCATTTTCATGATCAGTGTGTCTATGTTACTTGTAATTCAGTGTCTGGGAGTGTTGATAATGGCTTTCGTCCAAAAGCAGCGCATTCCAGTTTTTCTTCCATTGTAATTTATAATGGGAGGTCGCAAAATTGACCTGACCTTAGGTCATCGATATCAAAATTCTGAGACATACGTTTTGTACATGCTATTGCTCTTAGCAATCGTTGAAAGTTTCAAAGTGATCGGTCACTCGGTGTAGCTATGGCAGACATTGAAACTTTTTATGAGGTGAGGTCACTTCAAGTGACCTGGTGACCTGACCTTGAGTGACTTTGGTTTGAAATTTTAACAACATGTGTAGAATTCATGCATGATAAGGTGTTGCCGTTTATGAGATATTCGCGAAAAACCACGGGGGAAGTGGGGGGGGGGGGCAGGCCCGGCCGGGCGCCGTCAGTGCGCTGCAGCTATAGTAGCCAGGCGGAGGAAATGCATTGGAGGGATCTCTGCAACGCTATCGAGTTTCAAATTCGGATAAAGCGCGTGTAGGGGAGAGTGGGGAAAGATGCCCTAGGTTTTACTATGTCATATATTATTCGAAAATGACGATCGGAAAGCAAAAACTTGGAGTTTCAACGGAAGCCGACATCATTTTTCTCGAAAAATATCACACTTTCGTGGCTGAAATACACACATACACACACATGAAATGTATGATAGCCTTTTTTGCTATTAAGCATTTTCCTGAAGAAGTGAAATCTTACCCCACAGGGTGGGAAAGACGCCCCCTGGCGTTGGGGAAGATGCCCCCTGCACTATAAGTGGCATAAATGGGCACGTGAATCGCCTGAACAAATCAGTAGTCCCTTCGAGCCTGCAGTAGACACCAAACGTCATCGTAAGGGTCCTCAAAAGTAGTCGTAAGGGGCTTCAGAAGTCATCGTTAGGGCCATCATAGTCCAGCGCGGCCAAACAAGCCTCCGTGGTGGCGTTCGGAGACCACTGTGGGGCCCTTATAGGTCTTCATGATGTTTGAGGGCCCTCGAGCCCATCGTGGGGACCTCAGATGCCAGCGCGGCCCGTGGAGCCAACGTGGGAGCCCTCAAAGGATGTCGTGAGGGGCCCTGGAGCCAATAATTAGGCCCACAGAGGCCGTCGTGAGGGCTCTCAGAGTTAGATGCCGCCCAAAAAGTCGCTGTGTGGGCCGAGAGACCGGCATGGGGAGCACCCGATCGTACTAGACTCTCAATAGTCCCAGATCGGCTTTTGTCTCTCACCACAAGTATGTAATAAATGATTTGACGGGTTGCTTGAAGGACAGCCTACGTATTTAGGGGGGCGTCTTTCCCCATCAGGACAGGGGGCATCTTACCCCAAGTACCGAAGTAACATTAAATCAGTACAATTTGTTAGCCATAAAACTACACCCTGAAACAAACTGTTTGGGACACAGTACACGCATGTTAATGTATCACGACTATAGCAAGGGACGCAAAAATTATCTACTTTCTTTGATATTTACAATGTTTTGACACCAAAATATTTTTTGAAAGCAGCAAATAAAAAACATGCAATCAGCCAGCCGTTGCCCGACTGAGCTTCGCAAATTTTTGTGCAGTTAACAAGGCAGGCTTCCGCTTTACGCTAAGAACATTAATTTCCAGGTTCGATTCTTTGTTTCGCCGCTAGAGGGGGTGGGGCACCTTTCCCACCCTGGGCATCTTACCCCACTCTCCCCTACCACGGCGCATGATCCATCCACCATCTCCAATAGCAGATGAATGTTCTGTTTCGGTTTCGCCTGGATAACGCGTTGCGCCGACAACGCATGGTGATGGCATCCTGGTAGTATGAATCGGCGGCGGTAGTATGAATCGGCGGGGTTTTCCCCAGACCAGCGGAAAACCCCACCGGGCCGGCCACCGGTCGTAGCTGCATCGGGCACATCGCGCATGGGTTACACCGTGTCCGCTGGCCAACGTACCGAGTCCCAGCAGGTCGGCGGCCGCCGAGCTGGCCGGCGCAGGTGCCGGTGTGGGCCGCTCGGCGGGGTCGGCCGCTGGCCGCGGCGCGGCGGGCGGCACCGACACCGGCTTGTTCAGCACTGGCGCCGGCCCTTCCACGCGACCACGGCCCGCCTTCCTGGCGTTGCGGTGTTCCTTGATAGCGGCATCGATCTCGGCGTCCCAGTTGACCTGGCGGCAAGGCACGTCCGTCAGCACCGGTGCCCGGAGCACACACTCGCCCACCGCACCGGTGCGCAGCCGCTCCGGGCGGCCATTCGTGGTAGGTTTACACACTTTGTAGCAACCTTGTATACTAACCGCATGTGTAGGAGAGAACCGTCTAAGACACCGATGGTACGTACATAAGAATGCTTAAGCTTCTGACACAAATATATATATTTTTTTTCTCCTCCTTGCCAGGCTTCCTTGTTGGTACGCCAGCGTCTTTCAGTTAAGGAAACAGACCTGAGGCCGGATCAGCAAGGGAAGGGGCATGGAGCCAAGACCGAGTTTGCCAACATAGGAGACTTAGATAAAAAGGCAGTGATTCAACATGTGGAGGAGCAGTTCCATCTGTTAGAGCACCGCTATCGAGGTATAAACGACGATGGATGGATGTTTATTTTATCATCTTTCCACCCGTTAACAGGGCCAGAGCCTCGTCTAAGAGAATTACACTGGGGGGGGGGGGGGGGGGCAGAGACTCAAGGAGCCAAACCTAGGGTACCCCCAAATCCTGTTTTCTCACCGGATTTAGGCCACTTATTTTTCATCACAGTCCTGAAACCTGATGAACCTTTTTAACACTAAATAAATAAAAATAGTAGACCACCCGACCCATGCCTCTGCATTAGTTTATAACCCCCTTAGTTTTGGACCCGCTACACCTTTTTAAGTCGGTCATTTGTTTACGATTTCAGCCTCTCATGAATGCTTTACTGTTCGTCGGAGTTAAAATTTAACGACTTATTCCCGTTTATCTAAGAATCTTGCTCCCGTTATGGCTATAAGGGAGCCATCACTTATTTGTATGCGCTTCTGCTCCTCTGTTCGTGCAAGGTACAGTTAAAACGTTGAAACCAAATATTTTCTGAGAATAATCGAGCGAAATGGACAATTGATGCCCTCGAATGACCTGAACATTGACCTTATCCTAGCAATTTATTACGAACGCATACCTATATTTTTTTTTTGCGAACCACATCGGTTTCTAATGGGCCCCGCCCGCTTATGAGCGTCAGGTGCCGCGCTCTGATGGCCATTGCCAGCTTCAGGACCCACGTTGGCCTCTGGTAACACACACTAGTCTTTCCCGTCCACAGAGACGGACCACCGGGCTGAGCTTACGATCACCCAGAATGGGAGCCTGCTTCATTACGATTAGGAGCTACTCTTGCCGCACACCGGTGGCCGTCCAGCCAGAAGTTCAACGTCGCGTAGTGAGGACGACGATAGGTAGAAACAACAGATTGACGCCCCGAGGACAGAAACAACATGAGAATACGTGAAAGAGAATATGCGGGACACGGAGTTAGGTCGCCTGAAAACCCGAAATGTAACGTATTGCTGAGCGAAAAAAGCAATTGTATCAGGTAAACAAAATAAACACGTGAACACAGTCAGAGGTAATCGGGTACATCAATGTGCTCACATTGCAGCCATGTTTCGTTTACGCATTTGTTTTTATGTGCACTGACGCCTTGCAGTAAAAATTAGTTTGCCTTTTCGCTTTTGCCCCCCCCCCCCCAGTAGTGGCATTTTTACTCTGACTGGGGGGGGGGCAGGCCGGTGACTGCGGGGGTTTGCCCCCCCCCCAGTTAACATGTTGGACGAGGCCCTGAACAGGGCAAGAAAATTAATGGAAAAACATTGAATTACATTTTTGGAAATTCATGTCACCGAAAATAGCCCGAGATAAACGCATGACGATACATTTTAATATCAATAACGTTTGTTGTCCAAGTGACAACAACATATGGAATGGGGAGCTATAGAATTTGTCCCGGGTGCCCACCCTGACCCAACCACTCTCCCCGCGCCTAGTGCCGACCGAGACAGAAGCAAACTTCCAGCTAAGTTATCATATAGGTGAGAGTCACCGAAATGCTATCCCCTCCGCAGACCTGCCAGGGTTCCGTACCTAGTCGGAGATGTACTCGGTCGGAGTCGACAGTTCTGACCACTCAGTCAGTCAATTTTGAAAGCCAGAGTCGGAGTCGGAGTCACCAAAAATCCATTACCTCCGCAGACCTGCTTTGGCTGTGGAGTCATGTATATCATTCGATGCACCTTGACGAGCTGGACACAATGATACCATCCGCGCAGCTGTATCTTGTTCCTGTACGGAGTTATTGGCAAAAAAACCTTTGGTGACCTTTGATGACGTCATATGACCTTACAGCTGCCCAACAGCAAAACAGACCTCAAGGTAGTGAAAGTTTATCGTGTATGAAGTCATGTATGGTTTATGGGGCCATTCCGACCCATTTTAGTGGTAAAAACAGGGAGTTGGTTTTTCCCCCATTGACTTACCTATAATGGGGAGGTGTAGAAATTGACCTGACCTTAGGTCATCGATATCAAAATTCCGAGATATACAAATTGTAGCTACTAATGACCTTATAACATCCTGCGACTTTCAAAGGCCTCCGACATCTGCTGTAGCTCTGGTACGGTGACAAAGTTGCAAAAAAGTGACTTGAGGGGTCATTCAAAGTGACCTGGTGACCTGACCTTAAAAGTTAGGAGGTTCAAACTTGCAGGCCATGTGTAAAATTGATGAAAGAATAGTCGTACCAAATTTCGTAGCGCCGCGGTTTTCCCGCTATCTACGAAAAACCTCAGGAAGGGGGGGGGGCGGATATCCGCCCCCCCCCCCGTCGGGCCACGGGTTAAATAAGCAATGCCTAAATTAAATGAGTGGTGTCGATTTTAATAGTAACATGACGAATTTAAATGTATCTTGCTCACTTTCGTGGCTGTGCCTACGGCTGGCATGTTAAAACCCTCGCCGGACCTATTGGTTTTCTACATACGCGCCGGCCGAGGGGGGGGAGGGCGGGTACGACCCCCCTCGCCGTTTCGCCCCTGGTGAAGCTAGCGCGTCGCGGAAAAAACGAGCGTGTGCGCCGTTACGAGACGCAGAGATTGGTACCCAACTTTAAGGTCCTAGGTCAACCGGTGACCTCTGAGGTCAGGTCAAGTGCCCCAAGGTACGGTTCAGTTTTTGGTGAATAACTTCGCAAAAAACGGCCGCAGAGCGCCGATTTTGGCAGCATCGTGTTCGTCTCGCTCAGGCGCGTCGAATGATATACTTTTTGTCCGGGTCAGGTCAACTTGGGGTGTTGACCTCAGGTCAAGGTCAGGTCAGCACCCCCAGGTCACGAAGTTGGTCGATAGAGGTCATGTCGCATATCATTCGATTCGGCAGGCCTTCCTGAGTCCATTGGTGGCTTTCCCGACTCGCTAGCTCAATTTGATCAAGAGTTATTGACGAAAAACTAATATGACCTTGATGACGTCATAAACGACGTCACGCAAGGTCAACATTGCAAAAGTGACGCATCTAACCTTGCAAAGAGTGCATCAAATCACGATTCTGTGTGCTTGAGATAGTTGGAGATCGTTTCCGGCGCCAGAATAGCAGTTTTCATTTTTCCCCATTGACTTATAATGGTGAGGTCACCAAAATGACCTGACCTCATATGACCTTTAGGAAAAATCCGAGATATACAAGTTGTGGGACTCATAATGGATACTAGCTCCTACAAGTTTCATTTCCCTGTGACATCTCCTCTGGCAGTGAGGGCGTTGCGAAGTTGCGACATGTGAAGACCGTGCAGAGGTTCACTTATGACGTCATAGGTCAGTGACCTGACCTGACCCAAAAATGCGGTTGAAGTCAAAAGATGCGGCTTGGATCAAAGGTCAGGTATGCCAAGTTTCAGCTCACTATCGCCAGCGTGTTCGGAGCTATCGCGAAAAAACCCTATGGGGGGCGGCACCCGCCCCCCCCCTCGGCCGGCGAGGGTTACCCTCGCCCTGGCAGGGCATTTTTCATAACACGGCCTGGCAGTGGGGGTCGATGCGACCCCCCCCCTCGCGATTGGCTCCTATGGCACCTACAAACACCAAATTCGGCAGGTAGGTGGGCCCCCTGGAGTTCTCGCCCCTGTGCAAATTTGGTTGCTCTAGGTCAATATTTAGGGGGGTTTTGGGGGGTATAAATGTAAAAATTTCGCTAAAAACAGGTCAAAAGTTTTTCGCTTATAACTTTTGATCTAATTAAGATAGAGCAAAAAAAAAAGCACCAGTGAACTCAGCACGTCAAGGCGCGTCGAATGATATACTTTTTAGCTTGCTTAAGTGTACTTAAAGTTTTTTCTTAAATATTAAGTAAACTTTAATTAATTAATTAAGTTCAAGTTAACCAAATTGCATCATATTGCATATCATTCGATTCGGCTGATCACCAGGAACACAATGATACCATTTTTTAAGCTCTAGCGTCATGATGTGCCAAGTTACTGGCAAAAACGTCATTTGACCTCAGTTGACCTCATTTGACCTGACCCATGGATAATTACAGCAAACAAAGAAGCATCAAGTGACCTGCTGCTAAGTACTGTGGTTTCAAAGCACAAAAGTGATAGAACGAAGCGGATATCTCCAGTATTTTCCTAATTTAGTATTTTCCCATAGGCTCAACATTACGACGTAATGACCTCTAACTGACCTCAGGTCTGTAACCTCAAAAACCCGAACTATATGTTATACAAATCGGTGAACTCAGCACACCCTGAAATTTTGAAGGAAATCAGTCCAAAACCGTGAGTTGGACAGGTGCAAAAAGAAAATTGAAATTTGACCATAACCTTGTACCGGTTTTTCTGACCTGGTGATCTGACCGAAGGTCACTCGGACCTGAAATTTTCAAGTCATATGTAAACACGTTGGCCCATAGGCTGTGCCAAATTTGGCGGCGCTCCGCGCCGCCGTTTTTACGCTATCTTCGAAAAACCTTAGGGGGGGTCGCATCGACCCCCCCCTGCCAGGGCGAGGGTTAAATGGCAAATCGTGCATGTGACCTATACTCGGTAGTGTGGTGCTGGTGAGTGCCGGCTGGGACGCACCTTGGGCAGCGGCGGCGGCACCCACTCGCGCGCCGTGTACTTGTTGTGCTCGTACTTGGCCCGGATGAACGCCTCCAGCGCCGAGTCCGTCTGCGGCCGCCGGAAGTTGTCCGGCAAGTTGGCCTCGTACACGGCTCGTGCCCGGCTGTTGCCCATCTGCTGCAGCGCCTGCCGGTCGCACAGCGGCAGGGTAGACGGACGCGTCACAGGGTGTCAGATTACAAGCATGGCCTATGTGCACGCGTCTGGTTAGCAGAAGGGTCGGCTCGCACGGCCGGGCAGGAGAGGAAGCCGCAGCGAGGGTTCATACTATTCGAGAACATAGGTGGCGGAACAACTTGGGGCAAGATGGGGGGGGGGGGGCACCGGCTCAGCCTCAAGGAGCCAAAATATAGGGTAGGGGAACTTTTGGTATTATCGGACGGGTAACTTCAAGTCATCATAACATGGAGGTTATCATTTTTATTTAACTTGGAGCCATTTACTACCGTAAAGTGGGGCTATTTGAAACGGATTTTACAGTTTTTGGCCTCTCCCTTGAAGACGGTTCATATTTCTTATAGCATGTAAGTTGCAAAAATGTAGTTCTCCTTCTCTGTGAGCTCTTTCATATAGGTGCATTTTTGTTCAGCTAGTAATAATGATTAAGGCTATTTTTTAGTTAAAGCCTGTCTCAAATAGCCCCATAGGGTGGAGCTATTTGAGACAGTTTTAGTTGGAAAGAAAATGAAGAAAATCGGTCACGCTAGAGATAATTTTTTACACGCCACGCAATTGGAAATCAAATTTTGATAACTTTGGCAGATATTGTTTGTGCAAAGACTGTTATATGTCCTTTATATTCAATATTTTCCTTTTCCGTAGGACACTTCATTTCGGTAGAGTATAAAATTCCATCACCATATGCTAAGGTTATCATAATATGATGTGACCCTAAACTTTCAAAATGACAGGATGATCATCAAGGACTATTTTAAAGTTGACGACAGTAAAATTTTGAAAGCATTTTTTGTATATAGCCCTGGTGACGTGAAAACAGATATACCGAAAGTCGGTGGGGCTATTTGAGACAGGCTTGCTACCTTATGAAACACACCGTAATGAATCAAACAAGGCAAAAGGTTTCCAAAAACATTTAGGTGAATGGTCTGCATGATTATTTGTTCCATTGTGCAGGGTGTCTCAAAAGTTAGTTGACACATTTCCCATGCCAATAAAGCATATAAGAACCGGCCAAAAATCTAATGTTTTGGTGTCTGTGTGTACACTAGACAAATATGCATGCTTTGACAACTGATTCGGAGGGTTGAAAACCAAACCCTTTGCTGTATCTCCAAAAATATTTGCCCATACCGATTTTCGTCGCTCCGTCGGCTGCCGGAGGCTGATAAAAGGTCACCAGCTTTCAAGCTCTTGTAGGGGAATCCCCTGCAGTTTCTGCGTCGGATTTAGGTTTGACGAGCTCCCCGGCAACATCCGCTTCTCCCTAAAAGCCGACAGCTTGCATCGACACCATCCGTGAGTATTTTGTAGGTTTTCTCTGGCGCCAACTCCTTCATGAATGACTGGCGCCGACCTCTCAAGCACCATTGTCCTTTTCAAAACAACCCCATTCCTGAACAAATGGGATGTGCCAGGGGCAAATTTTTCGCAGCATATCATAGCAGAATGTCGCGGCCATCTGTTTCTTAGACACATTTGGCAAATTTTGCAAATCCCAAATGCTCGTCAACTAAGATCAGTTTGACGAAAAGCAACATTTCTCTCAATAGCTCAAAAGCTATGCATCCTGGCCACATGAGCTCAAGGTGGCCATTATTGGTGCGAAGGAAAACAAAGGTGCGCGCATAAAGCAGCAGATAACTGCAGCGGTTCAGCCGGGAAGGCTGGTGGGCCGTTTTGCCTCGCTGGGCCGTCTTACCCCACCTTCCCCTATTTTGCAACACCATACAACCTATTATTTTCAAACTTCATATCCAGATCAGAATCCAATACAGTAGCATCCGCTTCATAAATCCTCGGATAATAAATAAATCCAGCCACTTATTGTGGCCGCTTGAGCTGTTCACGGATTTTCTCCATGGATACCAATAGTTAACAAATCCGCTTAATAAAAGCACGCACTCCTCTTAATTAACCCTCGCCCCGCTGGGGGGGTAATTTGACCCCCCCCCCCCTCTGGTTTTCCTAAATAGCAAGAAAACGGCGGCGCGCAGCGCCGCCAAATTTTCAGTACCTTTCCGGGCATCAATTTGACACCTTCACATCAAATTTCAAGTCTTAGGTCACCTTAGATCATGAGTTATTGAGGTCAAACTGAGGTCATGTTCGAGCAAAAATGAGCAAAAAACATGAAATCGTGAAACGCTCACAAAAGCTACAGTTACCAAGCAATTTCAAAGTTCAATATGGTTATGTAGACAAAAAATAGCGCTACAAAACTGCTATCTCGGATTTTCAAAATTTTCTATTTTGACCCCAAAAAATAAAAAAATGATTTTTTTAGCAAAACTCAAAAAAAAATCCATAAATTTTCCGAATTTCGAAAAAACCGGATTGTATGTGATAGTCCCTGCGCTCTTTTATATACATACCAAATTTTAGATCGATATCCCCTTTTTTGGCCAAGTCATAGCGAAAAAACTGTACGAAATTGATGACGTCATATTTAACTCAATTTTTAGCAATTCTAGACCACGTAGCGCAAAACAAAAACCACCGTTGAACTCCCCGTGACGAGCTGCATCGAATCGATACCCATTTTATGCAAAAATATCAAGTTTGAAATTTGACCTAATTTGACCTGACCTTGACCTGACCTTGAATTGACCTTCACCGAAACATAATCTAAACTGACCCTAAAGACTGCCTGACCCACATAATCGTATTTGGCATATAAAATGGACCATAAAATCACACATATGATATTCACATGATATTTTCATAATGTGACCCTCAGTGACCTGACCTCTGTGACCTGACCTGGTATCAGTGACATCAACTAGCAAAATATGTTTGAAGAACATTTCCCCATCGATGATTTTCAATGAAATGCATTTTACTCGATTTTACAACGCATTTCTTGAAATGCCTGTAAACGGTGAAAATTCGACATTTAACCTGACCTGTGACGTCATCGGTTTGAACTAGGTCAACGAAATTGGGTCACAAGGTAGTTCCCTGATGGGGCTATCCAACACCGTTTACCGCTTGTCGCTATGTTGCGTGGTTCTCGAGATCTTAGTGGGGGCAAATTGACCCCCCACCTCCACCCCCAGCAGGGCGCGTTGGTCGGCAGACCCCAGCGGGGGCGGGTTAAAGGTAGTGTGCCACCTTTGAAAGATTTCCCATTTTATTTTTCCTAGGATAAGAAGCTTCTGTTTTTACCTAATATCGCAAAAAAATCAAAAATGGGCCTGGAATAGTGCCTTTTTCGCCTAAAAGTTTATCGGTTTTTAGATATGTATAACAACTGTAGTGGGCTCACCTGCAAACAGGCGTCGGGCAACAATCGCGAATGCGGCGCACTTGTGACAATAAGCAAAGGTCATTATAGTGTTACGACCATACGACGTACGGGAATGAGTTATCAGCTGTCTAATCGTAGACAACACTTGGATAACACAATGTCGAGCCTTAAACTGTAAGCCCGTATTGGTATTGTTTCTTTTATTTGGCTGTCGAACATTATTTATGGTTTGAAATATGATTTTATGTAAAATAATTGATATGAAAAAGCCGTCTTATAAGTTATGACCCCATTTCACCACACGCAAGTGGCAGAAATGACAATGATCAGCTGACGCATTTTTCTTGGCCGAAGTCAGAGCGCGCGGCCCGACGCACCACGCGTATTTGGAAATTCCGACCTCGACGAGCATCAGAAGCCACCTAACAGGCGTGTTCGAAACCGCAGGAGATGATGATGAACGGGTTTATCGAAACTTGATTGGATGAGCATATCGGTAATAGCGATTTCAGTGTGTGCATTTATTGTTCATAGTGGTGTGAAATGTGGTTGGGGTACGACCGACAACCCGTCGGGGCGAATTTCGCACTGGGGTACTCAAAATTTGAAGAATTTAAGACGTTTCCATGAGTTTTGAAGGTATGGATAAGTTCTAAAAATCCGGTTCTCCTTATCTGGGCCATTAACTCCATACGGTCCAAGAAAGCTGGCACACTACCTTTAAGCCAATTGGGAGTTTCGAAGTCCGCAGTGACGTCTCCCCACTCAAAATGTGGCATCCAAACCGCTCCCAAAGAACCGCTCTGGTGCAGCGGTCTGCAGCAATCGAAGTTCTAAAAACGGAAGTTCAGGGCTATAAAGAGCGCAATCAGCATGCACCTCAAAGAAATGTTCCTGGCAAAGCAGGCACGCTCGGCTGTTCCGTGTTGATATAGAAGGCGTGACGGGGAGTGATGGTGCATGGATGGATATGTTGACTTGATCGCTGTGACAGCTGGGGCATTCCACGATAGACCGTACCAGGCCCGTCACCCTCATCCATCAGATTTTAATGAAAATCGGTTCTAGGGGTAATCATAGGCCCCAAAGACGCCTGGCAAAATATCACACTTCTCAGATCAAAACTTTTTGAGTTATATTGCATTACATTTTTTAACTTCGGTTTATAACGGTGAGTTTGATGGCCTATAACTCAAGAACGGGTTAAGCAACCAACAAACGGTGAACAACACACAGCTTGCGATGAATCAATGATAAATATTACTTTTTAAAAATTCCAAAGAAAAATTTTCTTTGTTGAACAAAAATCTTAATCTTTTTTCATTTGCCTCTAATGACTTTTGGGACCAAAATTTTTCACATTTCTATTTTTTCAAAATAACCTTCATGTCATTGCAAATCGACATGCAAAAAAATTAGAAAGGTGTTCTTTCTATAAGTTACTCATTTTTCCGCAAACAAAATGGGTTTCGAGGGGGTTAATACGACCCCAGCACGCCGTTTCGCTTCTAATAGAGCTAGAGCCTCGCGGAAAAAACGTGCGTGTGTGCCGTTACAAGTTGCAGCGATTGGTAACCGATTTTAAGGTCTCAGGTTAACCGGTAGCGTCTGAGGTCAGGTCAAGTGACTGAAGTTTTGGGTTCGGTTTTTAGTAAATAACTTCGCAAAAAAATTGCCACAGAGCCGCGATTTTGGCATCATTGTGTTCGCCTAGCTCAGGTCCGTCGAATGATATGCTTTTTGTTTGGGTGAGGTCAACTTAAGTAGTTGACCTCGGGTCAAGGTCAGGTCAGAGCCCCTCAGGTCACAAAGCTGGGCAAAGGATATCATATGGCATATCATTCGATTCGGAAGATCGTTCCGGGTCTATTGGTGGCTTTCCCGACTCTCTAGCTCAATTTGATCGGGAGTTATTGACGAAAAACTCGTACGACCTTAGTGACGTCATAAATGACGTCACGCAAGGTTAGCAATGCAAAAGTGAAGCATTGGACATTGCAAAGAGTACGTGAAATCACGATACCATATACGTGAGATAGTTTCAGATCATTCTCGGCGCCAAAATAACAGCTTTTTATATTTCCCCATTGACTTATAACAGTGATGTTACGTGACCGGCCTGACCTTATGTGACCTTTAAAGATTCCCAGATACACAAGTAGTGAGACCTCTGGAGGACACCATATATGCGTCCTGTAACTTTCATCTCGGACAGCTGTGGTCATTGGCGTCCAAAACAATGACAGAACCAAACAGCCTTTTTCACTCCCGCGCTTATAGGAAAGATGGTTGGATGAACCCTCTTTTCATTTTTTTTCAGATGACTCGGACCTCAATTGAAATATCAGTAACCCGTGATGTCACTAGGTAGCTTAACCACGCCATTTGTAAGCTCCCCTCCCGAAATCACTATTCGAGACCGTTATCGTAAGGCAAAATAAATACATTTATAGAAAGAACACCTTCCTAATTTTTTGCATACTTCTTAACAATGAGCCAAATATTTTTTTAATGAAAACAAAAATTCAAAAAAATTTGGTCCCAAAGTCCAAAAAATACAAATGAAGGAAAACTCGATATGTCATATATCAAAAAAGCGTAATTTTCAAAATTTCAAAAATACATATTAATCTCTGTTTCATTGCAAGTTCAATGCTATATAACATTTGGCATTTGAATAATCCGTCTTCGAGTTACAGCCCGCCAAACTTAGCGCTGCAAAGCAAGATCCAAAAAATGTTATACACCATAACTCAAAAAATACTTATCGGATAAGCCTGAAATTGTTACAGGTGGATTCAGAGCCCCTGATTACCCCTGAGACCGATTCTCGTCAAAATCTGAGAGATGAAGGTGTCAAATTGAAAAAAGTGGTACGATCTATCGTGAATGCCCCAGCTGTGCAGTGTGCGCTGGTCACTTTCAGGGGCATTTCTACGGTCGCTGGTTTGGGGATGTCCAACCCTGAAACGCACGCATTTATAAATTAGGCTGCATTACGAAACTCAAATTATTGGGGGGTCCAGACCCCAGCGACCCCAACGATGGCGGAGCCCCTGGTCACTTTGATTGGAAAAAGTGAGGCCGTGAGGAATGCTAGCCTATACGTTGTATTGCAGGGGAACGGAACGTGCAGCTTCAATACATGCCTATTTAATGAAAATAATTGACTCCGGTTAATAAAGCCACCGCTTAATAAATCCGAAACACCTTCCCACCAAGGTGGAATCATTAACCCGCGCCCGACTGGGAGTCCTGGATTTCCACGCCCTGCTGGTGGGGGGTGGGGGGTTAAACACCCCCCCTTCTAACTCGGCTCCTGGGCCGCGTAGCGATACGGGAAAGGCGGCGTTCGAAAGAGCGTCAAAAATAAGGAAGAAATAACTTCAGTCACTCTTTTGGTCAGGACAAAGGTCTGGTCACCAGAGGTCATTGAAGGCCAAAATTCGCCGATTTGTAGGTCAGATGTCGACTACTTTCAACAAATCGACGAACAACTCGTAAACTAATAAAGGTTCAGCGCCGCGGAAAAGCGCATTTGGTAGCCCTATTAGCGTTCTTTCTGAGTAATTCTCTCAGATTTGACCTACCGTCAACGGTTTTGCCTGCAGGGGGCAAAACTGCCAAAATAGCCGATTTTTCGGAAACCGTTTTTCTGCAATAACTTTTGACTCAAACCTTGCACGAACTTTATTTTATAAGCATCGTGTTCCTCTCGCCAAGACGCGTGGAATAAACCATCACTTGACCTTGACACGTCAATTTGAAAATTTGACCTCAGGTCAAGGTCGTGACCTGACCGGTAAGGGTCAAGTTGCATATCAGTCGATCCGTATCGTCAAGCCAAACACAACTAAGGTGTTTTCATCGCTCTAGCATGCCTCTATCAAAAGTTATTCGCGAAAAACAGATACCTAACCATTGGTGACCTGAGATGACCTCAGGGGCATAAAAAGGGGTCACGGTTGCCATTTTCATGTTCAGTGTGTCAAAAATATCAGTAATTCAGCGTTATAGAGTGTTTTAAATGATTTCCGTCTAAAAAGGAGACTTTCAATTTTCTCCCATTGTCTTATAATGGGGAAGTCGCAAAATTGACCTGACCTTAGGTCATCGATGTCAAAATTCCAAGATAAACATCTTATACATATTGCTGCTCTTATCAATCTCTGAAAGTTTCAAAGCGATCGGTCACTCGGTGTAGCTTTGGCAGATAGGTATTGAAACTTTTTATGTAGTGAGGTCACTTGACCTGACCTGGTGACCTGATCTTAAGCGACCTGGGTCTGAAATTTTTACAACACATGTAGAAAAGATGTATGATAAGGTGTACCAAAAACGGCGCCACCGTTTTGTAGATATTCGCGAAAAACCACAGGGGGTGTTCAACCCCCCCCCACACACACACACACACACACACACAGCAGGACACGGGTTAAGCGGATTCCACTGTACCAGTATTACACTGATTACGTCAGTGCCCAACCAATCGCAAAAAAAATAGAAGAGGACGTAAAAGGCCGCCTCCGCTGGCGCACCGGCGGGTTAGCCGGGCACGGGGCAGCTGGCGGCGACTCACCACGGCCTGCTCCGGCTTCCACGTGTCCAGGTTGACCGACTTCACCTTGGAGATGTGCACGCCCAGGTTGCGGTGGATGCCGGCGCAGCGGATGCAGAGGAAGACGCCCAGATTCCAGGAAGCCCACCGCGGACCTGAGCAGGGGCAGCGCACGCGCGCCGTCACACGTCAGAGCGCCATGTGCGAGGTGCAATGAAAAAAATAAGGTCATTTATAACCCGCGCCCCATTGGACAATTACCGGACCCTGGCAACCGTTGTGGCCTTTTGGTCCCTCCACCCCCTCAGATCTTCGAAAATTAACGACTGATTTTCAAAATCCAGACGGTATTTTTCAGCCACGCACATGCACTGTCAGTTAAGCTGTAATTTTTTTTCTTCAGGTCACTAATTACGTCAGAGGTCAGGTCAAAGTAAGCGCTATTTAAGTGACCATCCCACCTTCACATGAGTTGCGAGTTGAGATTGTTACGGTTTTACATAATGGTTCGATAGCAAATTAATTATCGTCGGGATTCCGCCGCCCCAGACGCACACGCGACTCCCGATGTGAACTGTATTGAGCTCGGCCGTGAACTGAGACACATTACAAAAGGACGCCGGAAACCGCGCGCCGGTACAGCCTACCTATCAGGCGCCGGCCGGCGGCCGGCAAACAGCTGATTGCGCCGGCTCAGTAGCACGCACCACAACACCTCCCCCCAGACGTGGGGGAGACAACACGTCTCAAGAACAAAAACGTTGCCTCCGACAAACACAAGTGCACCAACGCGTGCCAGCGCACGATGGCTACACAAACTCATACACTGGGTCCGACCAGGTCACAGTCAGCCTCTTAGGCTGTCTGTTGCGCCTCACAGAGGCGTCAGGCGCGGGGGTCGCTGCGCCAGGGCGACTGCGGGGGACTTTGTTAGCGACTGGGGTCCCGCTGTCGGCGGTCCTGGTTCGGGCGCTGGCCCGGCCGCTGTTGCCGTCTTCGGTGATGGCGTCTCGGCTGCCATCGGGTGACGTGGTCACCGTCGGCCGCAGCGGGCGGAGGTATCGTCGATTCCGACAGTAGGTGCGGCCGCTTGGCAGGCGGGCCAGGTAGTCTCGTCGGCTTCCGATGCCAACGACGACGCCTGTCCGGTCCCACAAACCAGTCTTTGGATGTTGCAGGAGAATCTGTGGACCGATGCGCAGAGGTCTCAGCGAGCGGGCGCTCGCGTCGTAGCGTTCCGCAGTCTGGGACTTCAGAGCGGCTGCTCTCTCATCACACTCCTCCGCCGCGCGCTGCCACACCTCGGCAAACGCTCGGTGGTGAGCTGGCACGGTAGAGCGCAGCGGGTGACCGTACAGTATCTGGGCAGGGGAGCGACCATCGGCCCGAGGCGCGTTCCGCAGCTCCAAGAGGCCGTGCGCGAACGCGTCGCTGTCCAGGTTACCTCGGTCGCTGACCTTCTGCACGAGCCTGTTTACTGCCTTCACTGGAGACTCCGCATGTCCGTTCGACTGAGGAAAATGCGGAGTGGAGATCACGTGGGTCACTCCCCACCGTCGCAGGAAGTCGCGGGTGTGGCGGGCTGCGAACTGCGGCCCTCCGTCCGTTCGCAGAGTCTTGGGTGCCCCAGTGGCCGCGAAGGCGACCCTCAGGCTGGACACCAGGTCCTTCACCGACGTCTCTCCAGAGCAATGAAAGACGAACAGCCATCCAGAGAGGCGGTCTACGTATACAAGATACGTGCGACCAGCCCACGAAAAGTAGTCCGCTGAGACGGCCTCGAAGACTTGAGTCGGTACCGCCTCGGAGACTAGCGGTTCCTTTTGCTGGCTTGGGAGAAAGATCTGGCAGGACTTGCACGCTCTGACGAAGTTGGCGATGTCCTGGTCAAGCCCGGGCCAGTAGACAACTTGTTAAGCCCGACGCTTGGTGCGCTCCACACCTTGATGGCTGGCGTGAAGCCGCTCGAGCGTCTCCCGACGCAGACTCTCAGGAATCAGGAGTCGCTGCCCGCATACCAACAGGCTGCCGTCCACGGCGAGACGGTCTCTCGCTGTCCAGTAGGGCCGCAGCGTCGGCTCCAGCTGCGACTTGTGGTCTGGAAAGCCAGCCAAGACCACGTCTTGGCCAAGACCACGTCGACCACCACGAGGGCGCCGAGCTCTGCATCACGCTCAGACGCCGCCCGGACCCTCTGCAGAGTAGCGTCCGGGAACAGTGAGTCTTCCTCGGTCGGATCAGCCGTGGCGATCCTGGCGATCAGGCTTGCGATCTGGTGGGCTTCCTCCTTCTCCGCCTCTTCGTCGTCTGGAGTCGGAGTATCCACCGGAGCCCGGGAGAGCGCATCCGGGATCGCGCGCAGTTTCCCTTGCCGCCACACAGCGACGAAGTTGAACGGCGTGAGACGTTGCCGTAGTCGTTGCAGTCGCGGGTTGTCGATGTCGATGAGGCTCTTGGAGTTCAGCACTGGAACGAGCGGTCGGTGGTCTGTGACCACCTCGAACTGCTGCATGCCCGAGAGGTACAGGTCTCGCGGGTTTTAGCGGTAGGTTTTGCACCTAGAAAATTTAGTGTACTTCAGGCTATATCTTCGTCGTCTTAAGCTTTTAAATGTTGAAGATGCGATCGACTTGTTGGGTAACAAGCCGGCCATGATCGTGCAAAATGGCTTCATCGTAGATCGATTAGTTTCTGAGATATTACCGGAAACGTAAAAGTGCAAAACCTACCGCTTAATCTCTCGAGACCTGTACATGCTGCACTTCCGACAAGCCCATGAAACTGCCAGCATCTCAATCTCGCAGACGGCGTAGCGGGACTCCACATCGGTCAGAAAACCAGACCCACACTGAATCAGTTTCCATCGTCCATCTGCATCCTGTTGCCGCAGACAGAAACCCAGCCCTCGCAGGCGAGCGGCGTCGGTCTCCAGGACTGTCCGGCGCCGCGGGTCAAAGAAGTCGAGAACTGGTGGCGAGACCAGTGCCTTCTTCACGTCACCGAAGGCTTTGGAGTGCAGCAGCGTCCACACTCACTCGTTCTTCGGTCGAAGGAAGTGTCTCAGATGCTCGGCGGCGGCCGAGACGTCTGGTGAGAAGTCACCCAGCTGGTTCACGAGACCGAGAAACGATCCGAGGTCCGTGAGGCACGCCGGCTGCAGAAACTCCGCGATGGCTCGCACCCTCTTGTTGTCTGCGGTGTTGCCTATCTGGTCGATCTTGAATCCACAGAACCCCACCTCATTCCCGGCGAAGGAACACTTATCTGGGTTCAGTGTCATCCCGTGGTCATCGCATCTCTGCATGATGCTATTCCATACGTTCCATACGTGCTCCAGGTGAACTGAGTAGCTCGAGTCGTACGCCAGAATATCGTCTACGACTTTGCATGTCTGAGAGATGTCACCGAGAGCAGCGTCGCCTCTTCGGTTGTACTCGTCTCCTGACGAGATCAGATCCATGACGGCACGTTTGTAGCGGAAAGGGCCCCATGGCATGATGAAGCACGTCTTGTCTTGGTCCTCCTCGCTGATGGGGATCTGGTGGTAGCCAGACCTGCTATCCAGCTTCGTGTAGAAGTTTGCACCACTGCCGATCGAAGCCACAGCGTCGTGCTGCGACCTGACTGGGTACGCTGGCCTCATGACGAATCGATTCAGCTTGGTGAGGTCGACCGTCAGACGGCAGCCAGAGACCGTGCCGTCCGGCGACCGCTTCGCCACCGGCACGATGGGGTGGCACCACTCGGTCGGATGCTACACCGGCTCGATCACGTCACTCTCCAGCAGCTCATTCAGCTGGCGCCGAATGTCGTCACGCCAGCAGAACAGTACACTGCGAGCTGTGGAGACGGCAACTGGTGTGGCGTCTTCAGTCAATTCGATGGCCATTGAGCCTCCGGACATCTTGCGCAACTTCGAGGTGACGTCAAACACTCGTGGGAAGGCTTCCTTCATCGCTGAGAAGTGCTTCCGCCCTTCTTCAGACGATGGCACGCCTCTGCTTTCGAACAGCGTCGTGCCATGGCAGTAGCGAGCTGTGCAGCTTCGACGGCTATCGTCCTCTTGATGCTTCCCAGCTGCAGTGCGACTTGGCACGCTCCCAGGCAGGGCAGTTCTCGTTCGTCAGCTGCGAACAGGCTTCCAGAGGGCGGCGTCAGCTTCTTGACGTTGATGCCCATCTACTTCGCTGCCTCCAGAGAGATTACAGACACCTCAGCGCCTGTATCTGGCGTCCATGTCGTTTGTTGCCTGCGACCATCACTCCGATGCAGCAGAATCTGGATCTGCGGAGCACGCGTCGTGTGCAGGCCTTGGATCATGCAGTATCGGTGCTCCTGGTCCACTATTTGTCTGGCAGGTGCAGATGCCACTCGCGTCTGCATCGTGATGAGCGACACGCGTCTGCCTCTATCAGACCTCCGCTGGGTCCGGTCCGTGCTCGCCGGCGGAGCGCGCGAGTGACTGGCGCTGCGACTGCGGCAGACAGACGCGAAGTGGCCTACCTTGCCACGAGCTCGGCAGGTCTTCTTGACGGCCCTGCAGTCGCTGGCGCTACGGTGAACTTCGCCACCGCAGCCGGGGCACATCTTCTCTGTCGACCGGTCTCTCGGGCGACCGCGGCTGCGCTGGTACTGAGAGACCCTCGCCAGGGTCGAGCCAGCTGGTTCACGAATGGCTGAGCTGTTGGAGGCGGCATTCTCTGACGCTCAGGCGATATCCACTGCCTTCTGAAGCGTGAGATCCGGCTCTTCCAACATTCTGAGGCGTGCTTCTTCGTCTCGCGTGCCGACAACGACTCGATCTCTGAACCTGTTGTCCTGGCAGTGGTGACAGAAATCACAGAACGATGCAATCCCCTTCAATCCACAGAGAAAATCGTTCACTGTTTCGCGCCCGCTTCCTGTACTCAAAAAGTAAATTATACAGACCACGCCATGTTATGGTTTTACATTTAAGTCTATGTTAATAATGGTTCGATAGCACATTAATTATCGTCGCGATTCGTCCGCCCCAGACGCACACGCGACTCCCGATGTGAACTGTATTGAGCTCGGCCGTGAACTGCGCCGTATTACAAAAGGACGCCGGAAACCGCGCGCCGGTACAGCCTAACTATCAGGCGCCGGCCGGCGGCCGGCAAACAGCTGATTGCGC